TTGCTCACCTCACCTGTTGACTATCTGTTTTCAAGCATAGTTTATTAACATACATTCAAACAAAACTTCTCACCCTGCTCTAGTCAGTATAATAATCATTGCTCAATAATAACCCACATGGAGGCAAACACTCAGGAGATTAATTGATCTGTATATTTCGACCCCCTTCTGGGATCCTCTTCAGCAGAGCTTCTGTCTTCATGTGGGTTATTATTGATCATTGACAAGTGCTTATTACACTTTAGTTATTCATAATAATCATTGTTTATATGTAAATACAGTCAGCCCCCAAATTAGTAGTCACATTCAGAGGCATCACTAGGGTTGGTGTCACCCGGGGCGGAATCTTTGGTGTCACCCGGGGTGGCATCTTTGGTGTCACTCCCATGAAATCCAAGGGCGGGGGGGATGGGGGGAGTAAACTCTAGTTACATCACTGCTTCACGACCAGTGATTAATGTTTAGCAATGAGAATGTTTAAGGCCCATAAACTGAACTTTATTAATGATAAAATAAATAATCTTAGTAATATTGAGGAAACATAAACTCAAATACCACTTTGAGTATAGGCAACAGATCCTACATTTATTCATCTTCAACAATGAAAAAAAGAAAACTTGAAAAATAAAGAAAAACACTAGTTCCGATTTGACCTTGAGTACAGGTAACATCTCATTGAATCTGATACTTCATTTCCTTGCCTTCAATCCTGCAAAATCATCTGTCACATGTAAAGTAAAATCAATGATTTTCCCTATACAGGCCTGTTTGTACTCTGTAATTCTATAATAGGCTATATAAAAATGAAGTTTTTTTCTCTTATGTTGATGCAGCACGGTTTTGGTCATTAGTGTTACCTACTTTAGAGGCTCTATGGTGTCACCCCCTAAATGGTGTCACCTGGGGTGGGCCCCCCTCCCCTTACGATGCCACTGGTCACATTCCTAGAGGCTCTGCAAATCTATTAATTGCAAAAAAATATAAAACTGTTGACAAATTTTGTTTAAAAGCCACATAGTGTTTTTCTATTATGTGCAAGAAAGGTATACAATACTGACAAGATGAAAGTTAAGACACATGCAACATCTGGTTATCTTTATTGTAGACGTTTTGCCATCAAGTGGCTTTATCAATACAGATTCTAGGACATAATTAGAAGACAGTAGAACTATATACAAAAGATGAGGTAATCAGTCTCTCAGCCTTAGAGTTGGTGTTGAGAGTACCAGTGCTCTCAACACTGAGTTTTTAAAATATTGTATAAAAACATTGTATAAAATACTGTATAAAAACAAAAGAGAATGTAAAGAAATAAACTGGTTTTATAAAGTGTATGTACCTTGGAGATCAGACGACTTGGGCTAACGGAAGATGCTGGCAGAGGTGAAGGGTGGAAAAGATAGGGAGAGAAGATTGGAGGAGTTTGTTTCGTTTCACGCTTTTTCGGTCGCTTTCGTTCATCATAAACTGTATCACTTAATCATGATAGAGTTTATCTCACTTGTAGAGATAACCTCCTCCATGTCTGGCTCCTCTGCAGTACCAATTTCCTGCAAAACCTCCATATGCTGCTGTGTCTGTAGTTTCTTTAACTCCTCTGTTGTCAGTTTCTCAGAGTGCTCCTCAATGAGCTCGTTCACATCTCCTTCATCCACCTCCATGCCCATGGACTTTCCAAGGGACACAGTCTCCTCCACCACTGCTGCTTCACGTTCGAATCCTTTAAAGTACCTTTTGGACACAACCTCAGACCATGGCTTCTTCCACACAGAGGTCAAGGTTCTCCTTGTAACACCCTGCCAGGCCATATCTATAATTCTGAGGCATATCACGATGTTATAGTGGTCCTTCCAGAACTCTAGAAGGGTGGAGTTTGTGCTCTCCATCAACTCAAAACAGCGACGGAGCAAGTGCTTGGTGAAGAGATCCTTGAAACTAGAAATCACCCGCTGGTCCATGGGCTGCAGGATAGGGGTGGTGCTTTAGTATGGTACATATCGTAGATGTACGTACTACTCTCGTACTACCTCGCCAAGTCAACTACATGCACACCTCACTCGTGTTTTTCTATGATTTCATGCTTTAATTCAATGGACATCATCATCCTCTTCTTCTCAGCACTGTCCTTTGCACTTACTTTCTTTGGACCCATGATTAGAAAAAAGAAATTTAGCAAAATAACTGCACAAAACGCAAGCACAACACAAGAGAGATGCTTCCACGATGAGGTAACCACGTGCACTGAACGAGTGATATGTGGGACTGTGGGCGGATGTTGTGGCATTCACTGCACCAACTAGTGGCAGCATATCTGAAGCTCACTCATAACTCGAATTTTGGCTTGCAACTCAAAGCAAAAAACCAACCGAGCAATGGCTTGTAACTCAGAAAACTCTTAAGTTGGGGCACTCCTAAGCCAAAGTACCATTATACTATATACAACTATATGCTACTGTAGTTACAGATCATTAACCCTTTGAGGGTTTTGGTCGTACTAGTACGTCTTACGCGTAGGGGTTTTTGACGTACTAGTACTCATAAATTCTAGCGGCCTCAAATCTAGTGGGAGAAAGCTGGTAGGCCTTCATATGAAAGAATGGGTCTATGTGGTCAGTGTGCACAGTCTAAAAAAAATCCTGCAGCACACAGTGCATAATGAGAAAAAAAAAACTTTGACCATTTTTTTTTAATAAATCAGCGACTTTGCAGTGTATTTTCGTATGGTATTTATTGTTGTATTCTAGTTTTCTTGGTCTCATTTTATAGAATGGAAGACATATTACAGAAATTGAAATGATTTTGACTGGTTTTACAATGAAAGGTGCCTTGAAATTGAGCTCAAAGTAGCAGAAATGTTCGATTTTTACCAAACTTCAAAAGTAAACAAATCGTGCCAAGTGTGCAATACACGTCAACTGGTGAGTCTAATATTCTTTCACAAGTGCACCAATAATATTTATACCATTTTTTACACTAATGCAGTAGTCTGCATAACAGTAAATCTTATATTTTTTGTGAAAATGAAAATTCAAAGTGGAAAGCAAAAGAATATAAGAGGGGCCTTGAGACGTGACTAATGACTAGAGGAAATGTCATTTTAGTGCCAGGAATGTCTTTCTTGTTTATTCTGGACCCTATTCGGAAATTGGCATCTTTTGAAATTTGTGTGAAATTGGCAAAATTGCTAAATTCTGACCACTGTACTGGATAGTTGAATTTCATAAATGGGTGGTTTCTTGCACCCATTCGATAGAAAAAATGGAGTTCTAGCGAAATATTCATGTTTTTTGTCGACTAATACAGTGAAATTGGCCGAAAATGGGGCTCAAAGTGGGCAAAATCGCCGATGCGTAAACATCGCCGAGACCACTAACTTTGCGAGAGCATAATTCCGTAACTTTTCTATCAAATTTCAAACTTTTGGTGTCTTTATGATCGGGAAAAGATTCTCTATCTTTTCATAAGAGAAAATAATTTTTGTTTTTTTTAAATTTGGCCGACCCTGAGAACGAGTTTCGGAGAGGGCCTGTCGACCCTCAAAGGGTTAATAATCCTAGTTGGCTGGCTCGTAAGCTATACAACAGAAGGAAAAGGAAACTTTTTATGATGAAATAATATTAGCATCTTGAAGAAATTGTTGGCATCTTGTTAGTGTAGCAGTAATCTTCTTTTAGAAACTGTCACCTCCTGTTGGTGTAGCATTAGACTTCTTGAAGAAACAGTATGGGTGCAAATTTTATACTCTCTTCAGTATTTCAAAATTTTCAATAAGATCAGCTGTATCATACAATGTTTAACCCTTTCAGGGTCCGTGCTGTAGATCTGCGGCTCTACGTTGAGGGTCCGAACCGTAGGTCTATGCCATGAGCTCAGCTCACTCTGATAAGCTGTGAGCGGTAAATTTGGGCCTAGATATGAGAGAATACATCTACGTGGTATGTGTGCACCACATAAAACAAATCCTGCAGCACACAGTGCATAATTAGAGAAAAAAAGCTGAGACTGTAATTTTTGATTAAAACAGCGACTGCAGTGTTTGTTCGTATGTTTTTTATAGTTTTATTTGCGATTTCTTGATCTCATTTGATAGAATGGAAGATATATTACATAAATAGAGATGATTTTGATTGGTTTTAGTACTGGAAATGGCTTGAAACTGAGCTCAAAGTAGCGGAAATGTTAAATTTTTGCCGATGTTCAAGGGTAAACAAATGACCTCACATGTCTAATATACGCCAGCTGGTGGGTCTAATATACGTTCACAAATGTGTTGATATTATTTATACAATTATTACAATATATTGCATAACAGTAAATCTTCTATTTTTTGGTTTGAATAAAAATTCATTATGTGAATAAAAAATCAAATGGAATTCATTTGTAAAGCCTGAAAACGTAATTAATGAACAGAGGAAATGTTAGTTTAGTGCCAGGAATGCCTGCATTGTTTATTCTGGACCCTATTTTGAAATTGGAATATTTTGAACTTTGCATTAAATTGGCCAAATTACCAATTTCCGATCACTTTATTTTGTAGTTGAAACAGTTGACTTGGTGATTTCTTGTGCTCAATCGATAGAATAGAAGTAATACTAGTGAAATAGCTAAGAATTTGGTCGCCTGGAATAATGTAATTGGCCTAAAATGGGAGTCAAAGTCGACAAAATCGCCGATGCATAAATATTGCTGACACATCAAAATTCGCGAGAGCATAATTTCATCAATTTTCCATCAAATTTCGTACTTTTTGTTTTATTACCTTCAGAAAAAGATCCTCTACCATTTTTGAAAATTCTTGGACATTGGTGCACACTTTGAAATTTGGCCTCTGGACCCTGAAAGGGTTAAAGACCTAAACAGGCAGTAAACTGAAGTGTTCAGTCTCAGGGTGACATAATTTTGTTGTGGTTTTGGTCACCTTGCATTTTTGTTTCCATACTAATGTAGTGTACACTGGAATGTCATTTTGGCTTTGGTAATTATTTGTATTTTCCTTTCAGAACAAGATGAACAATAATCACAGAAGGCAGAACAGCCGTGGCCGATCAACAGTTCTGAAGGTACAATACAAATACGAAATACAAAATTTTTATTTCCTTGCAAGTTTACATTGAGATTATGTAATTACAATAATGGGTTGCAGTGCAAAGAGAGCCACTATCATGCCATGGCATTATAGGCAGACTAAATTTAATGGCTTACAGACTACTTAATACTAGAGAAATTGATCATAGCTTTTTTTTTTTTTAAGTTGTTTATCTGTTTTTATTTATAGCAGACAGTAAGTTTACTCAAATTACAATATGGGGATATTACATTTGGACAAGTTGAAAGTATTTTGTAGGTTGTGTATATCAATAGTAAATATTTAAATTATGTAATGGAAATATAACATTGAGCATTGTCGATAGTTTACAGTATGAGAATGCTTCAATTTGGTGTAAAGTAGTATTGTTTTGGGCAGGTATTTATACTAAAATGAAGTATTAAATAATGTATGAACTTTGGGTATCTAATTTTGAAGTGTTTAGATTTAGGTACGTAATTGGAAGATATTTTTGGTAAAGTTAAGTACAGTGGTACCCCAAGTTTTGTACAGCTCCCAACTCGAACAGTTATGTAAGTGTATTATTGTAAGTGCTTTTCTAAGTGTATTTTGGGGGTCTGAAAAGGACTAATCTAATTTACATTATTCCTCGTGGGAACAAATTCGTTCGGTAATGGCACTTGAACAGCTTTCTGGAACGAATTATGGCGGAAACTCGGGGTACCACTCTATTGAGTATTTAGTTAGCGTGAGTAGGTGGTTTTTGAGAAGAGTCTTAAATTGATGTTCAGACTGGGTTACTTTAGTATTTACTGGAAATGTATTCCAAATTTGGGGTCCTTTATGTGCATTGAGTTCTTACACAGTGTGTTATGGACACGGGGTACATCAAAAAGTGATCTGTGTCTTGTGTTATGGTCATGTGTCCTGTTAAGGTTGGTGAGGAGAAGTTTGAGTGGAGGGTTTATGTTTGAGTGTAGTGTTCTATGTAGTATGTAGTAGGCACAAGAATAAGTAATGTATGGATGTTCTTTATGGTGAGTAGTTTTAGACTTTTGAATATTGGTGGAGTATGCTGTCTGGAGTGGGAATTTGTTACCATTCTGACTGCAGCCTTTTGCTGGGTTATTAGTGGTCTTAGGTGATTTAATGTTGTTGATCCCCATGCACAAATTCCATAGGTGAGATAAGGGTAGATGAGTGAATGATATAGTGCAAGGAGAGCTGATTTGTGGAACATAGTACCGTATCTTTGATAGTATGCCTACTGTCTTAGAAATTTTCTTGGAAATTTGTTGTATATGAGTCTTAAATTTGAGGCTACTGTCAAGGTGGATTCCTAGGAATTTTCCCTCTGTGAGTCTTGTGATGGGCGATCCGTTTAGCATTACGTTAAGTGGAACATTTGTGGCTCTGTTTCCAAACTGAATGAAATAGGTTTTGTCAGTATTGAGAGTAAGCTTATTTGTTATCATCCAGGTAGATATTTTCTGCAATTCAGCATTAACAGTGTTGGCCAGTATGGCTGGGTTTGGGTGAGAGAAGTCGTATGTTGTGTCATCTGCAAATAATATGGGTTTGAGTAGTCGTAATGCATTCAGCAGGTCATTGATATAAATGAGAAAGAGGAATGGGCCTAGGACACTTCCTTGGTACTCCGACTGTAATTGGTTGAGTGGAAGAGTTAGCTCCATTTATGTACACATATTAGCTTCTGTTACTAAGGTATGACTTTAGGTAGTTGAGGGAGTGCCCTCTTATACCATAGTGTGTTAATTTAATGTGCAGTAAATCGTGGTTGACTGTATCAAAAACTTTAGGTAAATCAATGAAGATACCCAGCAAGACTTCTTTCTTCTCGAGAGCAGTGTATATTAGTTCTGGCATGTGTATAATAGCATCATTTGTGCTTTTATTAGTCCTGAATCCAAACTGACAGGGGTTTAGTATGTTGTGTGAGACGAGGCAGGAATAGATCTGCCTCTGAATTAATTTTTCAAAGATTTTAGAGAGCAGAGGTAAGTTAGATATTGGTCTATAGTTATTCAACTCTGATCTCCTCTGTGGATCTGGGTGACCCTCGCTATTTTGAGAATTGATGGGAAAGTGGAGGATTCGATGGATTTGTTAAAGAGTGTTGCAATAATTGGTGACAGTACTTGAGAAGCTTTTTTTGTACATAAAATGTGGTAAGTTGTTTATATTTCCTGCCATGTTTTTAAGGGTGTTGATGATGAGCGAGACTTCTGTTGGGTGGGTTGGTTGGAGCTAGGAATAGTGTATAGTGGAACCCCGAGTTTTGAACTCATTGACCATCGAATGCTTTGAGTTTCGACCGCATTTTTAGCACCAATTTTGTCCCGAGTATCAAACATGCCCCATGTTTCGAACCGCGTACCAGACCTGTCCACCTGCCTGTGTCCCTCACGCAGGCGTCCTGTGCACTCATTTAAACATTTTACAATTAATTCATTGCTTGGTACTTGTTTAATAAGTGCGACTGTGAAATAAGCTACCATGGTGGTGGTGGTGGTGGTGGTGGTGGTGGTGGTGGTGGATGGTGGCGGTGGTGGTGGTGGATGGTATTGGTGGATGGTGTTGGTGGTGGATGGTGTTGGGGTGGATGGTGTTGGGGTGGATGGTGGTGGTGATGGATGGTATTGGTGGATGATAGTGGTGGTGGATGGTATTGGCAGATGGTGGTGGTGGTGGATGGTACTGGTGGATGGTGGTGGTGGATGGTATTGGTGGATGGTATTGGTGGATGGTATTGGTGGATGGTGGTGGTAGATGGTGGTGGTGGTGGATGGTATTGGTGGGTGGTGGTGGTGGTGGATGGTATTGGTGGATGGTGGATGGTGTTGGGGTGGATGGTGGTGGTGATGGATGGTATTGGTGGATGGTAGTGGTGGTGGATGGTATTGGCAGATGGTGGTGGTGGTGGATGGTACTGGTGGATGGTGGTGGTGGATGGTATTGGTGGATGGTATTGGTGGATGGTGGTGGTGGATGGTGGTGGTGGTGGATGGTATTGGTGGATGATGGTGGTGGTGGTGGATGGTGCCTTCTTCAGAGATTAAGGAGTTTTGTGCAATGTGGAATAGGGTGCAGGCATTTGCTGAAAAAAATATCACCTTGAGCAAGCTGAAACAAGCCATCTCTGCAACAAGTTCAGTTACAGAACCATGTCTCATTTATGGAAATTTTAAAGAAGGGAAGTAACCCCAGATAAGGACTTGTTAACTAAAGCCTTTATAGAAAGGGATTCCCCTTCCAAACAGTAAGTGCTTCCTCACTCCTCCTCCCTATCTTCCAGATGCCATCAACAATCTTCAATAAAGGCAAGTAAAAATGTTATTTTATATGTTTATTTATCTATTACTAATTGTACTATGTATGTTTGTTGTGTGTATGTAAAACTATAATTAATCTCTATAAATTTTTTTTTTTTTGTGAATATTTTTGGGGTTCTGGAATGGATTAATTGTATTTACAGTGGAACCTCAAATTTCAAACTTAATCCGTTCCAGGAGCTAGTTATAAAGTCAAAAAGTTTGAAAGGCGAAGCAATATTTCCCATAAGAAATAATGGAAATACAATTAATCTGTTCCAGAAACCCAGAAATATTCACAAAAAAAAAATCATTTTATAGATAGTATTACATTGGTCACACTTCACAGACACGCACATGCATATACATATATACATACATTTAGGTTTTTCTCCTTTTTCTAAATAGCTCTTGTTCTTCTTTATTTCTTCTATTGTCCATGGGGAAGTGGAAAAGAATCTTTCCTCTGTGAGCCATGCGTGTCGTATGAGGCGACTAAAATGCCGGGAGCAATGGGCTAGTAACCCCTTCTCCTGTAGACATTTACTAAAAAAGAGAAGAAGAAAAACTATAAAACTGGGATGCTTGAATGTGCGTGGATGTAGTGCGGATGACAAGAAACAGATGATTGCTGATGTTATGAATGAAAAGAAGTTGGATGTCCTGGCCCTAAGCGAAACAAAGCTGAAGGGGGTAGGGGAGTTTCGGTGGGGGAAAATAAATGGGATTAAATCTGGAGTATCTGAGAGAGTTAGAGCAAAGGAAGGGGTAGCAGTAATGTTGAAGGATCAGTTATGGAAGGAGAAAAGAGAATATGAATGTGTAAGTTCAAGAATTATGTGGATTAAAGTAAAGGTTGGATGTGAAAAGTGGGTCATAATAAGTGTGTATGCACCTGGAGAAGAGAGGAATGTAGAGGAGAGAGAGAGATTTTGGGAGATGTTAAGTGAATGTATAGGAGCCTTTGAACCAAGTGAGAGAGTAATTGTGGTAGGGGATCTGAATGCTAAAGTAGGAGAAACTTTTAGAGAGGGTGTGATAGGTAAGTTTGGGGTGCCAGGTGTAAATGATAATGAGAGCCCTTTGATTGAACTTTGTATAGAAAGGGGTTTAGTTATAGGTAATACATATTTTAAGAAAAAGAGGATAAATAAGTATACAAGATATGATGTAGGGCGAAATGACAGTAGTTTGTTGGATTATGTATTGGTAGATAAAAGACTGTTGAGTAGACTTCAGGATGTACATGTTTATAGAGGGCCACAGATATATCAGATCACTTTCTAGTTGTAGCTACACTGAGAGTAAAAGGTAGATGGGATACAAGGAGAATAGAAGCATCAGGGAAGAGAGAGGTGAAGGTTTATAAACTAAAAGAGGAGGAAGTTAGGGTAAGATATAAACAGCTATTGGAGGATAGATGGGCTAATGAGAGCATAGGCAATGGGGTCGAAGAGGTATGGGGTAGGTTTAAAAATGTAGTGTTAGAGTGTTAAGCAGAAGTTTGTGGTTACAGGAAAGTGGGTGCGGGAGGGAAGAGGAGTGATTGGTGGAATGATGATGTAAAGAGAGCAGTAAGGGAGAAAAAGGTAGCATATGAGAAGTTTTTACAAAGTAGAAGTGATGCAAGGAGGGAAGAGTATATGGAGAAAAAGAGAGAGGTTAAGAGAGTGGTGAAGCA